TGTCTGTCTGTGTGTCTGTGTGTGTGTGTGTGTATCTGTGTCTGTGTGTGTGTGTGTCTGTCTGTCTGTCTGTCTGTCTGTCTGTCTGTCTGTCTGTCTGTCTGGCTGTCTGTGTGTGTGTGTGTGTGTCTGTCTGTGTGTGTGTCTGTCTGTGTGTGTCTGTGTGTGTCTGTCTGTGTGTGTCTGTCTGTGTCTGTCTGTGTGTGTGTGTGTGTCTGTCTGTGTCTGTCTGTCTGTGTCTGTCTGTGTCTGTCTGTGTGTGTCTGTCTGTGTCTGTCTGTGTGTCTGTATTGTATGTGTTGTCGTCTACGACGTGTCTGTCTCGTGTGTATGTCTGTGTGTTCATGTCTGTGTGATCTCTGTTTGTGCGTCTCTGTCTGTGTAGATGTCATGTCGGTGTGTCTGTTCTGTCTGTCGGTCTGTCTCGCAGGGTGTCTGCTGTGGGTGTCTGTCTGGATGTGATGTCTGTCTGTGAGTCTGTCTGCGCTGTCTGTTGTGTGCTGCTGTGTGTCTGTCTGTGTGTCTGTTTGTGTGTCTGTCTGTGTCTGTCTGTGTGTCTGTCTGTGTGTCTGTCTGTGTGTCTGTCTGTGTTTCTGTCTGTGTGTCTGTCTGTGTGTCTGTGTGTGTGTGTGTGTGTCTGTGTGTGTGTGTCTGTGTGTGTGTCTGTGTCTGTGTCTGTGTGTGTGTGTGGGTGGGGGTGTGTGTGTGTGTGTGTGTGTGTGTGTGTGTGTGTGTGTGTGTGTGTGTGTGTGTGGGGGAGAGTGTGTGTCGGGGCTGTGTGTGTTGTTGAGGGGATTGTTAAACCACAACATATGTGGGGGTGTGTGGGGTGTGGGTGTGTGTGGGGTGTGGGTGGGTGGGTGGGTGGGTGTGTGGGTGGGTGGGTGTGTGGGTGGGTGTGTGGGTGGGTGTGTGGGTGGGTGGGTGTGTGGGTGGGTGTGTGGGTGGGTGTGTGTGTGGGCGTGTGGGCGTGTGGGCGTGTGTGCGCGCGTGCGCGCGTGCGCTCGTGCGCGCGTGCTTGCGTGCGCGCATGCCCGTGTGTGTGTGTGTGTGTGTGTGTGTGTGGGTGTGTGTAAGTGTAAGTGTAAGTGTATAGTGTGTCTCTGTGTGTCTCTGTGTGTCTCTGTGTGTCTCTGTGTGTCTCTGTGTGTCTCTGTGTGTCTCTGTGTGTCTCTGTGTGTCTCTGTGTCTTTGTGTCTGTGTCTGTGTCTGTCTGTGTGTCTCTGTGTGTCTCTGTGTGTGTGTGTGTGCGTTGTGCGTGGCAGCTCGGCAACCGAAGCTGCGTCGTATGACGTCATGTTCGTTGTTCAGATCCGATCATGCTGCCGGCTTTCACAGTTTCCTGCCCTCCCGACGCGGCGGCCGGGTCACCAAACCAACACTTGCTCCCAACTCCGATTCTTCGCTTCCGGGCACGCCAGGAGGCGGACGGACTTGACAGGCCAACATATTGAGGATTGAGGACACGATTTGGCTGTGCAATTTTGTCTTCTGCCGAGACATGCGCGGCCACATTGTGCTGGCGAGTCGCTGTTGGTGTCGGAGCATTGTTGGGGTGCTTGTGGGCAGTTTAAGTGGTCTTCGAGTATGGTGTGGGAGTACTTGGGGCGTCTGACGTTGTTTGGGGTGTTTGGGTCGACGGCAGTAAGACTTCATGTTTGAGTTTACACTCCCCAGGTCATGCCGCTCTGCCACCTTGTGGATCAGCACACCTACCGTGGCATCGCCCACGTCCTCGGCGCCGGTGCAGAATCCACTTTCGCAATGCGGTTCCAGTCGCTCTTCAACAACTGCACTGGCTTCAATCCACGGCTCGCCGATCCTGAGACCCGGCTTTCACGAATGCCACGGTGTTTTTCGTTTGTTAGGTCAGAAGTTATGCTCGATCGGGAACGAAGGAGGGCTTCGAGTCGAGGCCCGAGGTGCAAAGGGCCCGCTTCGCACAGCAGTGCTGCCTCAATGCGGCCCAGAAGAAGCCAAAGACTTTGCTTCCGCTCGTCTCTGATGGCGCCTGGGTCAACATGGAGCTCGACCCTGGCGTCCTCTCTGCAGCTGTCGGCCCTGTGCCTACGAAGGTCCAAAGCAAGCGCGGGAACCGCGACCTTTTGGTCTTGCTGGGGGTGCGGTGTCCTGAAGATGAGGTCGCCAGTGGGCTGTAGCTTGGGATGTCGTTTTCCTGTTGAACCCATGGTATGAAAAAGGTCGACTGCAATTAGTTCGAAGGCAATCCGATCAAAGACCCAGGTTATGCAGAAGCCGGCCAGGGCCACACGCGACCTCTTCGGCGATCTGACAGACCAGGACCCAAGATTTCAGGGCCGTTGAAATGTGCTGAAATATCAGCTTAAAGCCAGGGCCTTTGCTGGTTAGGAGAGTGTAGACAGAAGCCAGCTCCTGAATCGGGGTGTTTTGAATGACGTGGTGCTTTGTGCATGAAGAGTAGTGATTCGCGTCGTGGAGCCCAAAAAAAGACACAGCGAGGAGCGGGCCACGGCTGTCGCCAACGTTCGTGGCCAGCAGCTGCGTGTACAGTCACTGCTGCTCCCAGGCCTGCGGGAGGCCAAGTTCGATGGGTCTTGGCGCCAGGGCTTATCTTGGCATTTGGTTCTGGTATGTTCTGGTGTCCCAAAGGATTCCCAAAAAAATGCTGTAGTTGCTAATCAGAAGGGATCCCCAAGTTCTAAGCCCCAGAAGACCCGAAAAGTCGGCCCCAAGGCTCAAAACCCTAAATCCTGAACTCAAGGTTGAGGGTCGTCCAAGGCTGAATGAAGTTCACGGGATTGTCTTTCTGGCAAGCAAAAATGCAAATGGCGAGGAGCGTAGTTGTATTCACGCATTCTGGGTTTCAGGGGCCCCTGTACAGCAGAGTCAGGAGAGATACCGCGCAGGTGCAAGGCAGCACAGACAAGAGCCACAACAATACCTTCAACAAACCCGGATTGGCAACAACATCACCCATAATATGTTTCTTTGGCCGAGCTCAAGTCTTGACGGGGTTATTGTGAGAGGCTCCTGTTTGTCTTTTGTTGTTTTGCCTCTTCTTCTTCTTCTGGGCAGAACCCCAGGAAAGTCGATGGCACCAAGTGGGCCGACCTCGTCAAGCAGGGCATCCGGATCAAGGTGCCTCAGGTGAGGTGCTTTGTTTTGGATGCTTGCAAGTGGTATAGTGCTCAGGGACCATTGTTGCATGAGTTTGTAGGAAAAACAACACAAAGGTTTTTGTGATCAGGATTTGGGTCAAGGTCGGATCAGTATCAGTTCCAACATGACCAAGATTTGTGTTACCATTCGTTCCGTCCGCGCGATCTCTTCAAGCATTTGCCGTATCATTTTTCCAAGATGGTGTCGTCCATGTAAAAAAGTGTACCTTTCTTCCTTGCCGAGACTGTGTGACGTAGACCCTAGAATGAGAAGCAGAACTTTGCCAAGAATTGTCCAGCTGCGTCTTCATGTGCACAAAGGCATAAGCTGTGTCCGGTCGAACTTCGTGCAGGAATGAGTCGGCAAACCCCGAACCGGCTGTATAGGCCTGAAGCAGGCATCTGCATTCGATAACACTCAGGCTAATGTCGCATTTGCTTAAGGCACGAACACAAACAGCACAAGGCAAGCAGGCAGTACATATGATGAGGGCAAGAAGACGCTCATCTACGAGCTTGAAGCTTGCGCTGTTGTCATGGCAATTGGTGCACATTGGAAGAATTGCCACATTATTCTCTTCACATACAATGAGCCAGCGTTGTCAGCTCTCATATGGAGCTCCTCAACTTCTTTCTTTCCCTCTTCCCCTTCGACCTACAAGCTTTACTTGTGCCCCAGTTACAGCCTAGGTTGCAAAATCTAGGCGCCTCATGCTTTGCATAGCCCGAGCCTCCCGGCGCTTGACATGAAGGGGTAGACAAAAGCCCCAAAGTCCAGGAAAGACCTGTTTGCTCACAATTCACAGACGCTGTCTGGACAGAGCTGTTCTTCTGAAATGAAGACATGTTCTGTTCGCAACAAAGTTGGGGCATCCCAGGGTCCGCGTGTCGCAGTGCGCCAGCGTGGTCTTGCACCGATTTGGGGCCACCTAAGCCCTGCTTTCCGAACCATCTGCCGAAGCTTCTGGACCCACCGCAGGCTGCTCATCGGGTCTTCTGATTCATCTGTGGTTTCGCACTCGGCATTTGGGTTTTCACGACACTGGCAACCGGCAAACAAGTCAGGGAACCTGCTTCCTTTGCAAAGCAGACATCATCCCAGCCGTCTGTAGCTGCATCTGCAGCCATGCCAGCACACTGCGCTAAACTGCAAACTACACACCTGCAAGGAGAGTTCAAAGTGTGCAGTCTTTTTCAAAGTTGACATGGCTGGTGACAGGACATGCCGGCCAAATGTCCTGCAGAAAGGATCTCGCGTGTGACGTGAAGAAAAACTTGATAAGAGCGGAAGGGGGGGGGGGGGGGGGGGAGTGTGGGAAAGGGGAGGGGACGGCAAAACGCATAAACGCATGAGAACATGGATGCCACGCACACGCACCAGCTGAAACAAGGAAGGGAGGCAGTCCAACTTGTCGACATCCCAAAACCGGCGAGCGATGAATACTGCCACGGTCACAATGAAATCAAGCCTAGCGGCATGCAAAGGTCGCAGCAAAGTTGCAATCGAGAAACCAAGGATGAGATCCAAGCCAACCGAAAGCAATCCCGAAACCGAGCATGCTCAAAACCCACGCCCCCAATTCACAACCTAGCAGGCCTAGCATCCAACGATCCTCAGCAGAACGACATTGAAAAATATATTGTGTACGAGATTCCAAATCATTCCAGATATGCTTTGCAAATGGAAAGCCTGATGCTGAGAAGAGACGCGGCCCACGCCCCAGGTGGCCGCTCCCTCCTGGTGCGACACGCTGAACGCCCAGAACGCCCAGAACGCAGCTCTTGCCCTACTTCGGAACGATGCAGCTCTTGAAGAGGCGCTCAGGATCTCCTTCAACATAAGGGCAGGCCCCTTTTCCCCTTTCGAATGATGGGCGCTTAGGCACACGCGATATTGCACAGCCCCAAGACAGGCTCTCGGTGTTTCTGGAGCTGGCCTGATTCCACGTGCAGAGGAGGCCTGGGGCAACGAAGGATTGGAATTAAACAAACAAGCGGGGCCTTGGTTTTTGCCAAGACCACGGTTTTCAAAACGCCTTCATTGAGTTGTGGACTGGAAAGGAAACAGCTGTTTGCTACATCTTTCTGTGCACACTGAAAGCCTGAGAGCCTTATTCATCTCTGGTGGGCACCTTCTACGTAGGCAGTTATGTAGGCTAGAGGCTAAGCCTCTCGGAAACGCCAAGTTCAGGTGGTGCTTGCTCTCGTGAGCTCGTTGCCGCATGCGGTGTCGCTGAGGGCAGTTTCCCTTCTGCGCCAACAGCATTTGGGATTCTTTCATCTCGGTTGGAAGATCTTCCATGTGCTGTTTGGTACTCTAAACACCTGCTTTCGACATGGCAACAGCATCTCTGCCTTTCACAAGGCATGGGTCATAGGGGATTGCAGCACATGCTAGTGCACCTCCGGCAGCCCTCTTTTGTACCTTGAGTGAACCCTCGACACCCAGGTTTAGGGAATGCAGGTCATTACGTGATCCGTAACTCATATTCCCCTCCTCCTGAGGTACGTGAGCGTCTCCATGCCAACGCCTTCACTGCACGGCGGTTTAGCTGACCAGTTGGCGGCCTACGATGGAGACCTTCCTGCTCGGGTCTTTCGTACTTTGACATCCGATGTCTAATCTAATTACATATCTACATGCACGCATACGTGTGGACGTATATACGTATGTGACTTGAAGGACATACATGCATACATACATACATTCATGATCATACATGCATACAGGGCTAGAGGTTACAACACATCAGGATTGAACAACTTTCTGCGTGAACAAAAATCTTGAATTTAGTGCATGGGTGAGTGAATAAGAACCCGATTTTAAGATCTTTTTACGGGGCTCTTCTTCACGCGTACACAACCTTGATTCCGTTCATGCGCCTATAATATTAGAATTGCCCACGTGTTCGCCTCTCCGCCCTTGAATATACCATTCTTACGCTTACCGTGTTCACGCGTGCGCTCCATTAATATGATCATTACAAGGGCGAGTCTTCTAAGGTGAGTGAAGGAAGGAGGGGAGGAAGCAAGGAAGAGGAAGGAAGGAAGGAAAGAAGAAGGGAAGAACTGGAAGGAAGGAGGGAGGGAAGGAGGGACGGAGGGAGGGACGGGAAGAATGGATGCACGACCTGCAGCGCGCCTGCGTTTGCTTTACAGGGCAACATCCTTCGAAAGCAAGCGCTGCAAATACTCTAAGAATCTATACCCAAATTACGGGCTGCTCCCCCCCCCGGCCCCTGTCTCAACGCCACGCCTTGTTAAGACCATCTTGGTGTCACGAGGACTTGCTGCCAACATCCCTGCATCCTTCCAAGCCCATCACACGCATTGTTTTGCAACTGTTTTGCAATGGGCCCAACCCCCTTTTACTGTTAAAGTATTCGTCGGCCCTGCACAGTTCCTCGGTCTCCTCCCTTCAGACCTGTGGCTCCGCATGGCTCCGCTATCTGTTCACTCGTGAATGCTCCACGTTTCACCGATTACCGAGGAATCCTTGATGGATTCCTCGGTTTGTCACGTGTTGGAGTCTGAAAGCGCAAAGTTTCGCAGAGATCTGACGCTGCACCCTGACCAGTTCAGGGGCTGTCTGGGCGTATGGACGGAGCGCTGTTCATGGCCCTGATTGAGGGTCTGACTCTCCTTGACCTTGAACACCTGGCGCCTTTCTGCCCTGCAGGCATGGTTCTTCTTTGAGCGGATAATTGGTCCGACTCGATGGCCCACGCGGGCTGCAATGCAGTGGTGGCGGCGGAATGAGTTCCGATGCTCACACGCTCGTTTTCCTTAGGCACACTCTGGGACCTGCCTTTGGCCGCCGATGTGGTGCTTTGGGAGCGTTCGTGATCCGACGTTGCTACCGGGGTTGTCCCGGAGATGAGGGATGGGTGGACCTACTAGAGCAGCGAACTCATAGCATGCATCCTAAAGGATTTCCGAGGTCACAAAAAGGCACTTACCATGAACCGGTCGTGCCGCTACCTCTTGAAACATTCGGGAAATGCATCTGCATGTAGAGTTTGGCAGGCTTGGGCGCGCACACATCCTATGAATGTTTGAGAATTGACCCAGAATGGCATCGTGCTGTTGCATTTATTTCGACCCACCTTGTCTGCCCTGGATACCCGGTCTCCCGTGAAGTTACCGGGTAGCTATGCACTTGGGACAGCATGGGCTTGGGTGCACGGTCCGGGGAATCGATCCGGCATTGCTACCGGGATGTTTTGGTTCGTGTGGATTCGCCTGGGTTGTCAGATAGGGACGTGCCATCTCGTGCGAAGAAAGGAGGTCTGAACCGTTCACAGTCGTGCTGCTACCTCGTAACGCATAGTTGATAGCAGGTGTCCATGGAAGAATACTAGACGCAGGAGTATTCAGCGGATTACACGTGGGAAGTGCGGAAGGTGAATTATCAAGACTGGCCCAAGCATTAAGAGGTTACAAACTGATGAGGCAAATATGTAACAACATTCAATGGCTAAGAACCTTTGAATGTGGAAAAGGTGGCAGAACAACAGTTCTTGTCGATGTTTCGAACAGCAAGGAAGAACTAACAATTTGAAGAATGGAGCAGGCAAGTATGTAGCCACTGAGGTAAGCCAGGATATGGAGAGAGACGAAAGGAGAGCCATCCGAATGGTCATATCCATGCCTAAACAGGCAGAGTATCCCTCCACATAATTCCAAAGAATGCAAGACGAGGAGATTGGCTCGTTTATCGACTGCTGGTCCTCATCTCGCGCACTGCCCCGGCAGCGTTGCGACCCGCAATGCCGCCGAACTTCACTGTGACCAATCCTGTCATCCTCCGCGTGGTCGAAGGTCGACACGTGTGGGGCAGGGCTTTCAGTGCAATACTTCCAGTGTTTGGAATTTCGGGCTGGTTGCTGCTTGCTAGCTCGTGGGGCGAGGTAAGAAGGGCACCTTGTGAGTCGGGTTGACTGAGATCAGCAATGATCGACGCAAGTCCCCGCTCTCTCCTGCTGCAAGAATAGGAGCATCTTAGGATTTCTGCCAGTGAACTCTAAGCGAAACAAACGTGCCAGCTTTGGATCCCTTTGCTGCCTTTGTGGGCATGGTCCTTGCAGCAAGTTGCCGAAACAGGATGGATGATGGCTGGTGTGGAGCGGGCCATGTGCAGCCACACTGTTTTGGCTTCCACCTCCCAGAGCCCTGCCCAATGGGAGCAGTCTCCAGGCTTTGCATGCACACCTTTTCTTTTTATGTCATAGTGCAGCGAAGCTCCAACGAGGGGCTGGCTCAGGTGTATGCTTGGGATAGACGTGAAACCTCTAATAAGAAGTAAAGTCGCAGTGTGACATAGGCATCCATCATGGACTACCATGTCTCGAGCTAGCGAGTCTCTTCTGGAGCATCAACGTGAAGCGGTTGACAGCCACTTGCATCCATTAGCTTTAGCGCTTTTGCATCCAGCGAGCTCCGGACTTAGAACAGAGCTTATGGATCGCGCAACTTTGGGTTCTTATGAGATATCCAAATTGTATCTCTTGAACTGGCCCACCCCCTCTTTCAGCAGGCCACTCGGCCACAGATTAGACTCAAGTTTGAATCGCCTGAGCCTGAGCACTGCAAGCTGCGAGGGAAGTGGCGGGGGTTTAGTGAAAGGGTGTGAACCAATTGCCGTGAGAAGTTGTCAGGTCTTTTTGCTTGCTTGCTGCGCTGAATTGCAGTATATCTAGAAACACAGAAAGAGAGAGACAGAGAGAGAGAGAGAGAGAGAGAGATTTTTCTGCAATCGTAGCTTCCTTTTGTTAGAGAAATCATATTGAGAAATAAGTCGGAAATTACTCGATGATGAACATCCTGGACCCGAAGCCAGACCGGCACAAAGCACTGTACATTTCCGAACCTGTCTTTTGAATTGCACCGTTAGTACTATAACACGAGTGGTGCCTGGTGCCTGTCTCATGCAACTCCAGCGCGGAGGAATGCACCAGCGAGATCGGGAAATGAAGTGTGGAGGACCTGTCTGAGCCCAAACATGGAGAGACCAGATCATCATCAATGAAGCCTACATCTAGATGGATGTATACTCATAACACAAAGCCGGGTTGTGATGTAAAACGGGTTCGTCCTTGGGACCCTCTGTCCGGCAGCAAGCACCGCTCTTTCGGGAGAGGAGCCCCGAAACTTCGCCTACTTGCACTTGTAGTCGTAACCCCACCCCAATTGCAAAACATTGAAACCTTAACGGCCGGTAAGCAGTAGAAGTAGTTTCAGAATAGAACTGATCCCCAAATATGTTGGGGGTGGACGAATTTGGTCAAGAATAATCATGCTGCGTGTGGGGCATGCGTGAGTAACGATAGTGAAGAGGGGCTCCGTCTTCCATGGCTGTTGCTCATTGTATACTGTTTCTCATTCCGCTTCACGGAGGGGTGTTGGAGCCCGCGCTGGCGTTTGGAGAGAATTTGAGCTTGTCGGGAGTTGGGGCCAAGGTGTCTTGACTGTATCTTGTGTTGGACATCTGGAACCTTGCCCTAGGTACCCTAGTTGCGAGGGTCAAACTGCAAGATGCTTGTGGGTTGCCGAATTTTTCATACAAAACCACGCTTGATTATCATTGTGGCATGGGTAGCATGCGTACATTACATAGAGATGTACTAAACACACTCGCCCCCTCCCCGCCCCCCCCCCCCAAGACCACAGTTTTTTGTACCAACACTAAATTTAATTCCAGACTTCCAGATTTGCAAGGGAGGATGTCCATGGGACTTCAAATTCCAGATTCCAAATGCCAAGTTCCAGGTTTCCAGATGCAAGGGCGTAAGCAGCACGAGGATGCAGTATCAGACGGAAACTGGACCTAATTGGAATTTGGAATCTGGAATTCGAGAATGGACAGTATTATCGAAACCACATCACTACTTGTAAGCTTGGGGTACCTAATTCTGGTCCGTGAGGATTATCATCATTTGCTCTCTCCCAAGTTAAAACGTTAAATAACTCAATTAACTTCGTTAACATAATCGGAGGTCCAAGCTATTTCTCTACTATTGGCTTATGAGCCGGCAGTTTCATCTTAAAAGCGAAAATCAAAGCTGTCCTTAATTCACTTAGCCAATAAGATTCAATAGGGATGTATAGTTGACATCCGAAAGCTTAATCAAACGAAATCGAAGATTCGCATGGTGAACACACTGTTCTTGTAGTTCCGTGTTTAAAGCAAGCCCTATCTACAAACCTCTGCTCGGTCTTTATTATACCGCTATTTTGTTGTCTACAAACAAATACTCGGTATACTCTCATTTTGTTGTCGCAGTCCCAATAGCTTTCCTGCATTGTCTTACAATTCTTCCGGCTGTTCAAACAATCCATGGGTCGCACATTTCGTGCAACAGGTTTGTGAGTACAAGGAGACATATGGGCTGCTTAACTGATGTTTGCCACAAATAGATTGAGCCTTTTGAGTCGCATGTCATTAAGGTAAGGAACATAATTCATACAACACTACATTTCAACATGTTAATTCTCTCTCAAGGGAAGCTAACTATCTAAACCAATTAACTAGTTAATTTCGTATTGGCCGGCAATTCCATCTTGAAAACGACAAAGCAAAGCTGTCCTTCATTCTCTTCCAATACTCATCCAATGATGTCAACTGCCATTTCATAGATTTACGAATAAGATACGAGGCATGCCGAATTTAAGTTGGAAATATTCGAGTTTCATCTTAAAGCGAAAAAATTGAAGGATGTCCTTCATTCTCTTCCAATATTATCGTCAGTTGAACGAATAGAAGTCATCAACCAAATATAGCTGGCATCCAAAAAAGCTAGGCCAACCAAACCAACTCGTTTTTTGCATTGTAAAATTTGCCTCCGAATTCTGGCTATGTGACAGATGTTTGTTTAGGGTGTATGGTCTCCCAACCATTCTTTTAACACAAATCAAACTGCAGAGTTGCCTTGATCGATGAAAGCCATCCCTTTCAAAAGCGATTCCCGAGGGCCCCCAGGGCCGCGACTTGGACTCATGCCAATTAAGACACATCATGAAACCTACGAAACAAAAGCGCCAACACACACACACACACACACACAAACAAACACAGAGTCCAGAATCCGGTAGTATTAACAACACGTTGGAGAAAGCAACAAACAGAGCCTCACACGAGCGAAACCCAAGAATCTGCCGAATTCTCGGTATGTATCATAAGTGCTATACAGTATAAGTGTGGTCCTGGAATCGGGTATGCGTGTGTGTTGCTACATGTTGCTGGACGCATTTTTGTGTTGGTTTCCTTCCATTCCGCCGGAGATGACCTCCCATACCTCGAAACAACAGGACACTTCCTGATCATGGACACTGGCCTGGGCAAGACGGTGACATCATTGGTCTATGCCTATAGGCCTGAATCTCTTGAGATGAAAGCATGAAGTTTTGGAAGGCTTCGCGTACGGTCTGGATTTGGAGTTCAAAGGGCATTGATGCTTGTAGCTGCCTCGAGTTGCAAGGCGAAACAAATGCTGAAGTTTTGACACTCGGAGACTCGCAGAAACCGAAGGTGGCTCTGCCGCACAGGCGGCAAGGCCGTCAGACGGATCCTTTGGGTCACCCCAGCTGGCACGGCGCCTCGCTTTGCAACTTGAAGGGTTTCTGTACCTTTCAGAGGTTTTTCGTGGATTCTTTGTTGACAGACTTTCTTTTTGTTTCCTTTTCGGCGGTTGAGCTCGGCAGGCAGAGCCAAGTCCCCATAGGCTGGACACGATACACTGATACACTGATACGCATGGCCATATTCCCGAGCGCCCAAGACTTCAGGCACCACCCCGAGACGAGGAAGTTCACTGATGAAAAAGTTGGGTTGCGTGGTTTCAGAGACTCAGGTGGAGAATCTGGTGAAGCAGCTCTGCAGCCGAGCTTGAAGCAGTTTGGGGCATTCATTGTTATCGTCTGCTGATACCCAGTTTCACCGCCAACTCATCTTCATTTTCTTCCTACCAGTTACTAGACTAGAGTAGTCAGCAGCAGCGTGAGTCCTCGGGATCGTCTTCGTACTTGAAGTAGAAGTAGCACTAGCAACCTAGCATGAGTGTAGCACTAGCAGCACTAGCAGCAGCAGAAGCTGGGGAGCCCTAGCTAGATGCAGCCGGGCAGCCTTTTGAGGCACGGTATGCTATCACACATTCGTCCACCCCGTTCAAACGAAACGACTTCCATAGCACATGCGATATAACAGTCTCCAAGCACAGAGAGCACACCAACAGCAACAAGGCGAAGGCAAACACCAAGAATGCCGCGTCACGACGTGCCAGAGTGTGAAGTGAGGGAGTCATACCTCGCAAGTTAGAGGTTCGGCTTTGCAGAAACCAGCTGCATCGACAAAATGCTCAGCCGACTGCTATGGCCGGTGACAGGGGATTGTTAGACGGTAAGTGCAGAGGCACCGCAGCCATTAGGGCTCATTGCCATTTTGTTTTATCCTCGCGGATGCTGACGAGCAGATAGAGCTCTTTTCCTGTTGCTTCACCCCAGCTGATGAGAAAAGCAAAGCTCGCCCTCAGCCTTCTGCTTCAGAGTTCGGTGCTTTTGTGAATGGGTAAGTCCGGGTAAGTCTTGTTTCTTTTCTCCTTTGCGATGGAAAAGAGAACTCCCGAAGACAGAACACTGGAAACAAGGACTGGAGAGCACCAGTGCACCCGGAATCTACCTTTTCCGCTCAAGTCTGTTGTGTCGAAATCGTTCTTGTGTTGTCAAGCCTGCTCCGTTCAAACCTGTTGCGTTACCTGTTCAAATGCGAAGCTTTTTTCACCAAACAATAACAAGGCAACAGAAAAATCACAACACCAGATAGACAGCACGGAGAGTGAATGCGCAAGACCGAAGATGCAGCAACGCTGCACGCACCCACTGCAGAGAGCGCATGATTGACCACCACCGAGGGCAAACGCGCAACACCAAAATCGCAGCGACACGGAATGGCTACGCAATTCCCTTGCCATCAGGTCGCAGGCAGCAGGCAGAGTAGCCGTTCCAAGCGATTGACCTGCCGAGCCCCAGTGCGTAACAGACTAAAGCGTCAGTGGATAGGGTTCTAGACGCCAAGTTATGTAGTAGTCGCAGTGGTAGTGGTGGTACTGGCTTGACATGGACGGGGACCCCAATCTGCCCAACTCTTCACTTAAGGTGAGATTGCATAACATTACCATGTTTCTGAAAATTGCATGGCTAAGGTCAGACATGGCATTGCCCTACGCATGTTGTGCCGCGGATCTCATCCGCCAAGAAGCCCAAAGCCGGGGAAGGATTCGAGCTGGTTTTGAAGGACTTCATGGTGCGCCTCGGATGAAGCTCTTCGTTGTGCGCACCACTACAGCAGGTTGTAGGTTGTAGGCAGCGACCTGCGAAATCCCAAAGGGAGTGTAGAAGCTTCAACGACGATGGCTATGAATGTCTGACCTGGCAACTCCATAAGGGCCCTTGAAAAGTCGTGGTGTGCCCAAGGAATGTCATCCATGCAGATCACCTCAGAACTGCTATCGACAAGGGCTTGGCCGAGCAGGCAGGGCTTTTGTTCTGGCATTCTTTAGCTTTAACCATGTGGAAGCTGTGTTGAGCCATCCCTTCCACATCAACTTGAGATCGCGGGCAGTTCTGGCATGCAGCATGACATGCACGTACTTCTTCAATAGTTTCCGAGGGGGTTTCAGAGTTTCCTTTCAGGCTACATCCTCGTTCATCATCTTCGATGAGGTGGATGAGATGTATGCACCCACACTGCGAACTTCGGCAGCCCGCAGGCTTTGCCAACTCTGTTGCTACCTCAGTTGTTTTCGAAGTCTCTGGGGATGCCCCCTTTGCCTCTTCCCGTAGAGCATCTGCGAGCCGATTGCCGGCTTCTAAGTGCGGCTTCATAATCACGACAGAGGTCCAAAGTTTGTTGCGCAAACAGCGACCCCGATGCGCAAGAACGAGTCGCAATTATTGGCGTGGTTGGCGGATCCCTGGCACGACTTAGCAAAACTCGAAACTACGAGTTTTTATCAGCTTATGCACAAGTGGCCGAGGACACCTGCTCATTCCCGGTTGATACCAGGAACTGGCTTGTGGCAGCCTCTGGAATGGTGTCAATGCAGCTGGAGCTAGGCGCATCGAGTAAGAGTCTGTAAATCACACTTATGACAGCTATGTACTCTCTACTTCGTGTAGTCTTGCGTGGGCTGGGGGGCTGGCAGGCATTGCAGCTGTCGAGGAAGAAATCCTCGTCCCGATGGTAGACGAGGCTCTTGTCCGTCTGTCATATTTCTGGAAGTTTTAAGCTTCTCTTCTTGGGCTCAGGTTCGCGCTTTCTTCTCTTCTTGGGCTCAGGTTCGCGCTTTGTGCCGCAAGCTGCTCGCCTCGAAAACTACTGCCCCCTGGCATCAGCAGCTTTGCTGGGCAGAAGTGGCGCCATGCGGCTGGCTCATCATGCCGATTGATGCTGCGGATACAGATCACCTACTTACGGCTCCCCACTCTGACGCGAACCAACCATACAACAGACCATCCCAGCTCATGAGCCAACCGACTCATAAAACACAGACCTGGCTAACTAGACGATGATGAATACCCGCACCGTGCTGCAGACTGATCAAGCGAACCAGGCTCGTCATCTGAATCTGGTCTGCTTGGTCTTGCTTGGCTAGCTTCCCGTATGCTTTTGCCTAACCAGCGGCCTGTCCGTCTTTGTGTGTCTGCGTCTCTTCTCTCTTTATCTTTATCTCTCCTTCTCCTTGTCTTTCCCCTTTCTATTTCTCTTTCCCTTTCCCTCCTCTTTCTTTTTTCTGGCTCTCTCGCTCGCTCTCCTCTCTTCTCTCGCTCTCGCGCTCTCTCTTCTCTCTCTTCTCTCTCCTCTCTCTTCTCTCTCTTCTCTCTCTCCTCTCTCTCCCCTCTCTCCCCTCTCTCCTCTCTCTCCTCTCCTCCCTCTCTCTCTCTCTCTCTCTCCTTATCTCTCCTCTCTCTTTCTCTCCCTCTCTCTCGTCTCTCTTCTGTCCTCTCTCTCGTCTCTCTTCTGTCCTCTCTCTCTCTCTCTTCTGTCCTCTCTCTCTCTCTTTTTTCTCTCTCTCTCTCTCTCTCTCTCTCTCTCTCTCTTCTCTCTCTCTCTCTGATTTTTTTCTCTTTCTCTCTCTCTCTCTCTATCTCGCTCTCGCTCTCGCTCTCTCTCGCGCTCTCTCTCTCTCTCTCTCTCTCTCTCGCTCGCTCGCTGTGGGGGGGAGACCTTCGTAGAATGAAGCTGCAAAGGTGCGATGGCTGGAGATGGCTCGCCATTCAACTGCAAAGAGCGATTCTGTTCTGGCTTTTCTGGGTGGGCTCTCATCGTGCGGCATTGTCGGCCAAATGACGACAGGATGAGTGTATCAGATTCATTGAATGCAGCGGTGATGATAACGATGTAGAAAAAGAAGCTGACGGGGATGGTGACTGTGGCTCAGGCCCACACGCATCAGTCTTGGGCAGTTTACGCAAGATGGAGTCCCATGCCTCACAGGCTTGAAGAAAAGACAAGAATCTGTGTTGGGTAATCTGGCAATTGCTTCTAGCAACCTTAAGCTATCGAAGTTTTTGTAAAGCCCAGTCTAGACACCTAGCGCCCACTGACAGCGGGAAGAGGAGAAAGCTTGCCAAGGTATAGGGGGTTTCCCTTCACTTAAACAATTCGACAATTACTATCAACTAAGCAGTCCAGCACTGGTCCCGCACCCAAGGCGTAGTGCAGGAATACACGGACCAAGCCATGGCAGAGGCGGCACTAAGAGCAGCAAAGCAGGACCCGTCAGGCTTGTCAAGCAGGTACCTCGAAGCGAACCCAACTTGGTTAGTCGACTTCGGTGTATGGCTATGCAGGTTTGAGGCTTCGGGTTCCAGGTTTCCGAAGGGAACCTTGGCAGTGGAGCAGGGAGCTGGGGGAACTATGCCGAAGCTCCGAACCTTCAAGCCTTAAAGCCTTGGCAGGATCGCAAGGTCCACGAAGACGGTGGAGTGCTATTGGTTGCAGATTCGCTCCCAGCCAGCACTCAGAATTTGTGGACGACATGCACTACGACCTATAGCATGCCAGGCTACAGCACGCTGCGAAGCTGAGAGAGCTTTGCAGCCCTCTTCTTCCTACGGGCGATTTCGCTTCCTTAGAAGCGTCTGACGCTAAGCGCTTTGCCATCGTTATCGTGACAAAGGCCGGTTGCACGCAAGGTCTCCGATTCTTCCGTTACAGCTACAGTTTGCCTTCTGCACAATCCGCACCTCAAGCTAGCCTTGAGCATGTTGTTCCTCCATTGTCCGTTCACTTCGCAGGACAAAGATCGAGGATACAACTCCGCAAGACGTGGCTTTGCAGAATAGCACTTCTACATAATTCATGTCGCTCTAACTGTAACAACTGCTCCCGAGCCTGCTTCTCAACAAGCTTTTACTCGACCAAAGCCATTTGCTTGCCATAAAAACACTCTCAACAAGCTAGCTCTTCATGAATGATGGGCTTAAGAATCAAGCCCATCATTCCTGATGAGCTACCATGTTTCGACTTAACACAAATTCGCATGCGAATTTAACAATTCTACAAAGGCCTGTTTGAATCTATATCTCTGCGTTTTGCTTGGGCTAGAGTGTCCCAATATGTGGTGTGTGTGTGTGTTGTTCATATAGCAGATTATATGTGTTATGTTGTTTGAGTTCATCGTCTGAGGGGAGGACCTTTGCAACCATCAGAAACAAGATGCAGTGTTTCAAGAAGTTCAGCACTGGATGACAATGTCTCCGCGAGAATCCTGTTTTGGGAGCTTTCATCGTGTCAGTATTGGGTTTTTTATAATCAGACGATTGGCGTTTCTGGATTCTTGGAGGACCCCAGGATGAGACTTTGCCATAGCCATTTCCCTGCATAGTGTCCGAGGGGTCAGCTAAGCGGGTGGCAAAAAAACAAGCTAAACAATCTAGGTAGCCCTTTTCCCCGCTTGGGAGCAGCAGCAACTGGACACTGTTCGATCCTATGGTTATAGATTCACTTGTAAGGAGTCACTGAGGCCTCGGGGTCATGGTGACCGGCGCCTACGCCGGCAACGCCGCTTCGAGACATCAGATGCGTGGTCGACTGCGACGCCTCGGGCAGAAGCGCAAGGACAAACAGGGCATGAGCAGGCATGTGTCAGGAAGGCTTGACGCAGCACTGCCCTGAGTATCCTTGCGCAGCTTGCAGGAGGTGCGGTTCGTGACCGTCTGCATGGAGACCCTTGGCAGCTGATTCAGAGAGTGTGGGCACCTGCTTGCAGTTGAGCGCGTCGTGGGCAAGGGTCAAATCTATGGTAGTTGCGGTTTTATCTTGGTAGGACATTTGCACGCTGAAGTGTCAAAAAACCCTGTAAAAAGCGACGCCCCTGAGTTTGAGTAGCCCGTAAGACAAACCCCTGTAAAGCGACGGGTTACAGCAAAACTATGCAAAACCCATTGCAAAGCGACGGGGAACACTGAAAGCGACGCCCCTGTTGCGCGACCTAGGCCCGACCTCTAGAGTTTTGACGGTCGCTCTAGCGCCCCTCCAAGTTTGGGGCGTCTGGCTGAGTGTCGAAGATCCGACAGTCCGGCGAGAAAAATGGAAGAGCTGTCCATGGCGTACGAGTCACAGGAGGATGCGCGGGCGATAGTGGATGCGTAACTGACATGGAGAATGAAGGGCGTGGGAGGGGGCGAAGAAAAGAGAGCGCACGGGCACGTGGGTCCCCCCGTACTTTTGCATCTTGTACCTCACAAAGCACCAAGCGGGCATGTTTTGTGGGTAGAGGCTTAAAGTGAAGGTCTATTGATTTTTTCATGCCGGCAGGAATTGATCGACATGTTCTTTGTTTCCCACCAAAATAGACACAGGTAGCATCGTATGGCATTAAATACGAAATAAATCAATACACACACATAAATAATCGTGTACACATACAAAGATTTATATCTACGTATGTATATACAACTCAATTATATCTATAGATGTATTTTTAGATATATACATATAGATACATAAATATATATATATATACATGTGTACATATGTATAGATGCTGACCCGCTCCCCCAAGACCTACCTCTCGCACAGGAAATCGCCTGCCTCAGACTCCCAGATTCCCAGTTTCCCACATTTGCGCGACCTAGGTTCAGACATTCCCAGATTTGCTCGCCGTGTATTTCCAGATTGGCTGGACTCAATTTTCCATGAATCAAAACATTACAAACGATGTTGTGGTGCGCTTCTGTTGTTCCAGTAGCGGTCCTTCATTGTCTTCCAATCTCCCGGGCAATCAAACAATAAAACGGGGCGCCATCGCAACATTTGACATCAAATTCCAGAAGCCCAAATTGAACGGAATGCAAGGAATTCCATCCTCCACCTGCTGCATCAACGCCACAGTGCTACCCCCAGCAAGCCGATATTCTGGCCACGAGGGGGTGTCCGGGTTCAGACTGTGCTGTTTACAAAGGGCCGCTTCAGGCATAGTGTCTTGCGCACCGATGCAGACATTCGCAATTGTTGGCTGACCGTTGTTCTTTGGATCTCTT